AACTAGCAGTTTGCATGTGTAGCGCCTATTAAAGTTAATTCGAACTAATGGCTGTTAGTTCGAATTTACTTTGTAGTGTAGACATACCCATAGTGTTAACAAAAAATCTATAAGGTACAAAGTTGCATTAGTCTTGATTAATACACTTATCTAAGAATTTCACTATAGAAAAGCACTTTGGTGATGGATATTAGCATGTTTCTTATTCTGAAGAATTAGCCTCAGTGAATTAGCATAAATTTATACTTCTGCAATTTTGCATTTCTCTGTGGAAAGAATCATTTTCATTATAATCTTCACCAAATCTTTCATTATAATTTTCACCAAAGCACGCTTTCTTGTTCAGCAAGCTTGTGTGTGTGTGTACATGAAAATTAGATCTATCCACCTACATTTGCTTTCTCGTCTTTTAGTTTTTGCATAGACTATAAGTTGGGGTATAGTTCCTAGTTTGGCTACACATACTCCTGCTAATTCTGACAGAGCTAGCCCCCATCTAAATAGCAGTGTAGCTGTAATAGCATGGGTAGCAGCAGGGTAGGTGGCATGGCTAAAACCATGCTGCTGCTGTCCAGGCTACCATCACTACATAATTTACATTCACACTAGATCACATTGACCTCACATGAGGATATGTATGCAAGCTCAGAATTGCAATCCTAGCTCACAGTGTAGATGTAGTCTTAAAGAGTCAGTTTTCTATTGAAAACTCAGATTTTAATGGAAGTTTAGTCTTCATGGTAGTCTAAAACATCATCACTTTTGGCTGACAGGAGTCATGTAGGGCTTGGCCCCAGGTCTAATCTGTAGACAATTCAAATTAAAAACTCAGAAATAGAAGAAGATAATGGTCCAATATATTATGATTATTTTGTAATAGGCTGAAAAGAAAGGGCCTCTGAATGTAATGTTCTGTTTGCCCACAAAAACTCATGATACTATCTATATATTTTTGTTAGTCTCTAAGGTGCTGCAGGACTATGTGGTGTTTTGTGTGTATATGTGTTCCAGCTTGTCAGTCAAGTCATGTAAATGGCTAGCTAAAGAATCTCTCTGTATAATCTTTTCCATTTTTTAACAAAACCTGTGCTTCATTTCTATTTTTCATCTGGCAGTAATCTGAGGAGCATCTATTTTGTACTGTATTGAGATTCAATATTTCATAAAAGGAGATTAAAATCAAGTGGTATCTGCCTTTTACATTTTTTGTTAAGTTAGCTCAGTTCGGCTAGAACGTATGTGCCCTTCTGAGGTGATGCAGCTTTCTGCTGATAAAATATATTTAAACTGTAATTGGAGATTTTGGTGTAGCAGTACTTTCTGCTAAAGACCTATTTTTGTCTTGAAGTAAGCCTGCCACCTGCTGGAGATGCTTCAGGAATGAACCTTGTCTGATTGGGAGGGATCTTCCCTTCTTCAACCTGGCAGAGGCGTGTCCACCCACTAGATCCTGCCAAGCAACTGGTCTGGGGAAGGGTTTAGGAGGCAACAGTCTGCAGAAGGGATTGAAGGTATCTGTAGCACTGAAAGGTTTCACATTGTCGTCCTCCCTCCTTGTCCAGCAGAGCTGATTTTTTCCCCTATGGCCTATCTCTCCTCACTGCCATTGAGCATGTGTGCAAATAGTTGGGGGCACATTGCTAGTGGGGAGGTAGAGAGCTTCATGTAGATGGCCTTTGTTTCTCGTTGCTAACTCCAGCTGTACAAGGCATAAGGCTGAGTCCCATGATGTCCATTGTGGTGGTGGCGAGCAGCCCTCTTGAAAGGATGTGAGAAATCTCTGCTAGGGGAACCTGATGCTTTTGCTCATTTCCGGCTGGAAAGAGGAGACTTGACCCACTGAGGTTGTGTAGACCCCAATGTGGAAGCTGATATCTGGGGATGATTTCACCTCAGACATTAATTAGATTTATTTGTGCAGTCAAGGGCTGTTCTAGCAGTTGGGAATAGCCAGAGGACATAGACTATGCCCAGTCTCCATATATATATCTATATATCTATATCTATATATATATATGTGTGTGTGTGTGTGTGTGTGGTGGGAGTAACACAAAGAGACTGTATTGTAGCAGAATCAGTTACATAATGTTACAGCCCACACAGTGTTACATCTGTGTGACAGGACCTTCTTGCATCGAAGACAGCTTTATTGAACATTTCCATGTATGCAAACAGAAACTATTAACATATATACTTAGTGCTTTAAAAGGGCCAGTTTCACAAAGCTGAAAACAATTATGAGCCAAATTAGTAGTGAGAGAGAATTAAAACAGACAAATGTGAATGGTAATTGAGTATCATTTGAGAATATTTTCCTAAGGTGCTCAAAAAGCCACAATCCTATTACTTAAGAAAGAAGGCCACAGTGGTTAAAAAAAACAACCGGGGCTTAGAGGGAAATTAAATACAGCTATAAAATAATAAAAATCTATATCTTAAAAATGGAAGAAAGGGGACATTTGTAGTAAAGTATATTATTGTTAGATGTAAAATATATTCTTTTGTTTCATTTTGGATATCTAGACTTCATAGGATAATTTAACCATGACTCCAGAAGTCTGATTTATTATTTTCTGAAATTGATGGAAAAACACTCATAACAGTTTGCAGTGTCTCTCAGTATATGTTTAATATGGATTTTATTAAGTATAATAGAATTTAAAGATGAATAAATTATAAAATGATTACATGGCAAAATGTAATTTTTTTTTAACAATGAATGTAATAAAGGAAATCACCAGGGTGTAGGCGATCACACCACAGTAAACTAGTCTTATCAGAAAGCATCAGCTTCTTTAATTCTATTCTGTATTATTCTATTCTGCACAGGTGACCTTGGCATCAGTATGGATCTTTTAATACAGATACATATTACATGTCATGTAAGCTTTTCACAAATCAAGAGTTCCATCAAAAAGCATTCTAAAATTTTAAAAATTTAATTTGGAATTTAAATGGTTACTTGACAGTTGATTTATTCCTTCAGTTCTTAAGACAAGACAAAAGACAGTTCATACTTCCTCCCTCAGGGTATGTCTAGACTACATCCCTCTGTTGCCACAGGTATGTAAATTAGACATACCGACATTGCAAATGAAGTGGGGATTTAAATCTCCTACGCTTCATTTGAATAAAAATGGCCACCGTGTTTTGATAAGGCAGAAGTTTGTCTGCAAAAAGCGGATGTCAAGACAAGGATCGGGCAACAAAGAAAGCCTTTGTTGCTTGATTCCTTATGCCTCGTAAAATGAGGTTTACAGGATCGGCCAACAAAGGATTTCTTTGTCACCCAATCCCCATCTTGACAGCCGCTTTTTGCCGACAAACTGCTGACTCGGCAAAACACAGTGGCCATTTTTATTCAAATGAAGCGTAGGAGATTTAAATCCCCGCTTCATTTGCAATGTCGGTATGTCTAGACATACCCTTACATATTTATATATTATCAAACACACAATTCCTTTGCCTAAGCCCTCCCCACCCTAAACAAACCAACCTACAATTAAAGAGCTTCAATAAGATTGCAAAGTCAAGCACTCAGATGTTAGGCAATTCCAGAACTAAGGTTGTCTGTACAGTAACCTGGCATGGGAAATTTCAGGCTAAACAGTTAAAGTTTGGCAAAGTTATAAGCAACTGAAAACAGGGTCTATATGGGAAGCATCAGACCTTCCTATAAGGAAGTGAGACTGTACCAGTGGGTATTCTCTCAAGATGGGGAGAATAAAGGCTATTTTATGATGGTTTAGCCAGTGTAAAGTGACAACAGTGCACTTATTTATGATCCCCTACACTTCTATTTTACACTGACTCAGGTGTGCAAAGAAAAGATTAGGGAGGATTATATGGATGGATATTACATTGACATCATATAAATATAGAATCTTTGGATGCATTAGTGTTATCTGTTTTGAAGTTGTGGTTTATAGAAGAAAATGCTCTCTGCTATTTTCTCCGAGTTTCTGTTGTTCTCTTCTGTTAAAAAGGTCACATTGGAACAGGTTGATGCAGTTCACTTTTTACAAAGAGAACATTAATCACACAAGAGTCTTAAAATTTGTTTCCAATTAAAGAAAAGCCTCAGGGTTTATTTGCTCACTGAAGATAAGCTTTTGAGCAAACTAATAATTTTCTTCTCTTCTGAGAATATCTTCCCTTGTTTGACGGCTTCCCATTCCTGCAAAGGTGCTTCTGTTCAGAACAGCTCCTGTCTCACCAGGGCAAGACATAGTGAGTCAGAGCCTTAGCTGATATAAGCCAGCATAGAGTGATTTATGTTAGTTGAAGCAAAACACATTGGTTGTGTACTGAAATATGGCTATGACATCACTTCATATTTTCTCTGGATTAAACTATTTAGGGGCTAGTGAGAGACCCTACCTGCAAAACACACTAGTTCTTTTAGGGTAAAGTTGTCATGTGGTATGGAGGGCTTATTCGAGGCCCTAATACCACAGTGCTTAGCTGCTACACTTAGATTGTATGGGGGCTTTACTTTCTGAGTAGCTAGAGGCTTATTGGGGTGCATTAGTAGGAACATTGCCAGCAGATCTAGGGAAGAGAGGCCACATCTGGAGTATTGTGTCCAACTCTGGGCCTCCATTACAGAAAGGATGTGAATACATTGGAGAAAGTCCAACGGAAGGAAATAAAAATGATGAGAAAGCTGGAGCACATGACTTATAAGGAGAGGCTGAGGAATTTGATCTTATTTAGTCTACAGAAAAGAGGAGTGAGAGGGATTTGATAGCAGCCTTCAACTACCTGAAGGAGGTTCCAAAGAGGATGGAGAGAGTCTGTTCTCAGTAGTGACGGATGGCAGAACAAGGAGCAATGGTCTCAAGTTACAATGTGGGAGGTCCAGGTTGGATATTAGGAAAAACTATTTCACTAAGAGGGTGGTGAAGTACTGGAATGGGTTACCTAGGGAGGTGGTGGAATCTCCATCCCCAGAGGTTTTTAATTCCTGGCTTGACAAAGCCCTGGCTGGGATGATTTAGTTGGGATTGGTTCTGCTTTTAGCAGAGGGTTGGACTAGATATCTCCTGAGGTCTCTTCCAATCCTATGATTCTGTGTGCCTATACCTGTCCTTAAATGTTATCCTAAAAGTTTCAAATTCTCGTGCCTTATGTCAATGGAGTGGGGAATCACCTTTTCATTGGGTACGCAGCTTGGCTAGGTATATGTGAACTAGTTTGAATCTAGATAGCATGGCTAAAAGTAGCAGCAAAGATGTGGTGACATAAACCCTATCCCATCCCAGAAATGCCAGTACACCAAGGGTTCTAGGCAGGCTTGCACAGCCTGTGCTACCATGTTTTCACAGCTATTTTAGCCATGCTAGCTAAATTAAAGGTAGTGTGTGTGTGTGCTTCTCCAGGCTATAATCAGACCATCTTCTACAGCATAGACATACTCCATGTCTGCACTTGTGCGCCTCATGTCAGCAGGGTCAAAGACCACTGTAGAAAGTGTATTTAGCTTCTGGGAAGTGAGAGGTCCACCTGATTTAGCTCTTTAACAATCCTGCTGGCTGCTGCAGTAGTGGCATTGAGATGGTGTGTAAAACAGGGTTCTGAGCAAGTCTTCTGCTGTCGATTGACAAACTACAGGAAAAAAACCTAAAGAACAGGTGTTACTTGCCTAAACATATTAACTTTGCTATTTTAGTTACAATTCACTGAATTCTTGGATTCATGGGTAATGAAATATTGTTATCCTAACTGTTTGACTAAAGAACAACAGAATTATACTTAATATGTCCTTATTCAGGGGCTCGGTGTGGGGATAGTGACTCAAATCCAAGTCAATATCAGAGGGGAATGGATGTTTTTACTGGATGATAAGGAGAGTGTTTAAGAGTTCTAAAGGATTTTCTTCCTTCGGTGTTAAAGATGGAGCTGTTTGGACTCAGTTACAAGACTTTGTTTCTTTTCAGTGATCACTACAGCTGAAGTTACTGCTCAGCTGGTCAAAGGGACAGAGTCTTAGACCTGGTGTGGAATTAGAGCTGTGATAAAAGACAACACAGAGAAGGAAGCTGTAGTGAATTTCCCAGCTGTCTAGTGAGATCATTACAGTGAAGTAATAGCTAAGGGCTAGGAGATAGAAATAAAAAGTGGTATTGTGCCTAAAGACAGCATAGTGAGAGATGCATCAGTAGCACCAAAGGTGCCCTTGGATTACTAGTAGCTGGGTTAGTTGTGGTGCTGTAGAACTAGACAGGACTGAAGACATAGTAGTGTAGCAGTGGCAGGGATAACAGAAAGATCAGCAAGTCTCAGTGAAGGTATCACACCTCTTTAGGGGAACCTCTAGACTTGGGATCTTTGCTGACCTTGGACAACAAACCATGAGTGGGGTGTAGAATAGGGAAAAAGGGAGTGGTGTATTGAAGGGATATTTTTCTATTGGATTTTCATGCTGAAAGGTGGGAAACCAAGGCAAAGGATGCTGCCCAAGATACTGAGGGATGGATGTTTGTGTACTCTGAATTCTCATTGCCATACTTTCCCAAATTAATGGTATATTTTCTCTCTAATATTTTTTTATTTATACAGACTCAGTGCCTGTGAGTGAGGAAGAATGATGATTAGAGGTGCCCACGAGAGGTATTTAGTTTCCCCAGATCTCTGGATGTGAGTTTGAGCTGGTTCATTGTTACAATTTTAAGAGGAACCTCTAGATACTGAACTCAGCTCTTGTTGCTGCTGACACCACCTGACAGAAGTGTTACAGCTGGGAAATACTTGCTTTCATTCAGTGGGTACTTAGGTCCTGTGGTGACAGCAGAAACCACCTATTAAAAATAAAATCAAATTCATCATATACATGCAGTGTCTATAAGAAAGGAAGCAATGGTCTATTGGTCAGATCCTGGGGATCAAATATGGCTGTCCTGAGCTTTAGAATTCGAAATGATCTGACGTGTGTTTGTGAGCAAGTCTCCTAAACTCTGGGCCTCATTTTCATGCCTCAGTAAAATGGGGATAAGTCACTTAACCTAACTCGTAGAAATAAAAATCAAGTGGTTAATATTGGTGCAGTGCTTTGAAAATATGTCAATGTACTACTTATTGTCAGATATGGTGCCTGTTGGAAGTAAGAATACAATTAAAAGATATGTGCAATTTCAGGAAGTAGGAATAAAATCGCTCCTTTAGACTTGTCAGTGAAATTGGACACAATTCTAAAAATGCCAGTTTGTCCTGATCCTTTCAGACAGTTTCTTTGATAAGCTCAGCTAGTGTCTGTAAAGCCTGCAGTGGAAAAATAAAGAGAGAGATTTGAGCTGACATAATAGTGGTCACCGCATTAGTGATTGCTGATATAAAACTGTTAATAATCACTTTATTCTGCAGCTTTTCATGTACATTTAGTTCAAAACACTATGCCTGCAAGGCATTTTGGCAATACTTCACAAGCATATGTGTGCGTATATACATACCCCAACACAGCACCTTTTCCTCACCACTGTACACTGCTTTGAGAATTAGGCCTTCAAGGCATATCTGGATTTGACTAGTTTGCAATGGCTGGTGAGTACTTATGCTTTATGGTTGCTGTCTCATTCTTCAGAATTTAAGCATTAATGCAGTTCTCAATATCAGACAATATTTTTTCTTAGTGTGTCAAGCATAACGTGGTAATGTTCTTGTGCAGCAGACAAAGCACCAACCAGTAAAGAGAGGGAGAAATATATGCCGCTACTCCAGTAGATTGGGTCCTGTCTCAAACTACTGCAGTTGGCATTGAGAAGTATGATCATATTGCAGTTCTTGTGTGTGGGGGTAGTGCAACAAATGTGTAGCAAAGTGAAATAAGTTTCCCTTCTTGAGAAATACACACGGAAGTAATGAAGTATATAAAAAAACTTGAGGGGCTTGCTACAGTTGATTTTATTTTCTTTATCCCAAAATTGTATTAGCAGACATTGTACTTTACAACATATTACTTGACACTGTGAAAACATGGCACAGAGTCTCTCTCTGCTTTTCTATGTCATCGTTTTATCTATTACAGCAAGGTACCCAGAGAGTGATTTATAATGCACAATTCATAACTAACGTGTGGATCTAACAGCCACTAAGCATTGGTGATCACAAATGTAACAGGCTTTAAAAAAAGGATTGGAGATTTCTATGGTTATAATGATCATATGTGTATTAGATTCCAAAAGATATAGATGGGATATTGACTCTTGTCAGGGCATTAGCCAACCAGTAAATGACAGGAGCAAGGAACAGACTTCCCCTGTGGGTTGACAGTTCTGTAATTTTCCACCATAGGCCTTTTGCATTTTCCTTTGAATCACCTGAAACTGATCACTATTAGAGACAGACAGAAGGCTGGGGCAAGGGTTCAGGGCCAGTACGTACCCTATGTGACCTTGGGCAAGTCGCTTAGGGTACATCTACACTACAAGTTTCTTTCGGAATAAGAGAAGATATCTTCTCAGGAGGTGATGCTCCCCCAGACCTCCATTCCCCTCTCACACACCTGCCAAGACCCCAGCCAGCTCCTTCACTCCCCCTCATGGCAAGACCCTCTGCACTCAGCAGGACCATGGGCCCCAGGGCAAAGTGGGGGAGGATGCAGGAGCTTCACACCCCTAGAAGAAGCGGGGCTGAAGGCAGTCAGCTTGCTTTGTGTGCTGTAGCTGGGGCTGCTGTGCAGCTCCTCCCCATCGGGCAGCATCCTGTCCACGGCCCTGATCTTTGGGCAGACCCTGCGGTCCAGCCTCCATCTGGCTGCAGGAAGGGCTGGTTCCCCCCTCTGCAGCATGGGTAAGAAGGGAGGCCATGTCCTGGCTGTGGCGATCCTGGCTCGGCCCCTTGTTCAGCCACTGCTGCCGGATGATACCTTCCGGAAAAGCTTATTTAGAAATAGAGCGTCCACACTACAAGGAAGCTTCAAAATTAGTCCAAGTCAGACTCCCCTAATGTGGACACGCTATCTTGACTTAGAACCCCATGAGGCATTGGGGAGGAATAACTTTAGAATGGCTCTGGTGAGGAGCTATTTTAACATAGCAGCAGTGGAGCCTCTACACACACCCTCTTCCGAAAAAGCTTTTTCAGAAAAGGGCTTTTTCCTCATAGAATGAAGTTTACTGCCTTTGGAAAAAGCTATCCATTATTATGACTGTCTGTCAAAGTAATGCAATTGCAGTGTGGATGCTAGTATTGTTTTTCTGGAATAACGACCATTATTCCGGAAAAATGGTGCATTGTAGATGCACCCTTAGTCTCTCTGCAACTCAGCTCCCTTCTTTGAATGGGCATAATATCCACCTGACAAAAGTGTTGTGAGGATAAATATGTTACAGATTGTGACATGCTTTGGCATGACAATGATGGGGGGGAACCACATAATTCCACGTAATTGGACAGGATTCTAACTTATCTTCAAGCAGAGACTTGCATACTCGCTCACACATTGGTTGATAGCCATTCAGTAAATTGCTTTGTACTTTAATGTATCCTTGTTGCCTGCCTTTCTCCTCGTCATCCCTCATCAATTTTGCATTGTTCATTCCACTATTCAAAATAATCAGAACTGGTTATGGTGCATAACTTAGAGAATTTTAATTGTGATTATGGGGAAAACATCAGTGGGTATTATAACGTTAGGCAGTAGTGTACAGAGGGAAGGAAAAGAGGAACAAGTGTGTCAAACTTGCTATGTATCTGTACATCCACCAGAATGTATTGTAAATTTAAAAGCATAGATGAGTCAGACTCAGTATCGAAAAAGCAATAACCATCTTAACAGAGGAAAAAGAAAATCAATTTTCTGCAGCGGTTAGGAAGAAAAGTGTGATTTATATTCACCTACAATTATGTGTATATGGATCTGTGGTGGATACATGAATGGGAATTTTATGCATAGACGTCAAGAGGATAACTTAGAATCTGTTATCAGTTGGTCTAATAAATATTCAACATTTTTAAAATGAGACTTGTGTTAATGACAATCTATAAAATAAAGGATACTTTTACTTTGGTAGAAATGAAGGGAAAAGGGTCTTCCAGACCAATATTAGTCTGCACGCAAACAACAAATTCACATGAATAATAAAATTTGATCAAGTAAGTCATTTTAGTGATATACAACAGCACCAGTTATACTCACCTGGTCCATCTGGTCTGGAGAAGCAAAAGAATAGGAAGCCCTGATATAAGGAGAAGGAGCTGAGCTATCAAAGCTAAATGATTTTCCAGGAACCAAAGCCACCTAAGAAAGATGTTTCCAATTTTAATATTCTGAATGCAATGAAGTTTGAGAGCATGACATGTAAAATACGATCATTACACTATCCTGTATCATAAAATGTTGGTACTTACACCAAATTTATGTCATTGTACACATATTTAATAGCCAGAAAAGACCCACGACTAGTATCAAACTCAGGAATTCTTTGCTTCATTTTCTAATAAGTAAAATCTAAGCGCCATATTCAGCCTCCAATGAATGAATATAGCTCCCATAAGAACCTTCAGGCCAAACTTAGTGGGGAGATAAACAATGGTATAAATTACATGTCAGGTGTGAGTCAGTCAGAAAATGGATGTAAGTGGTTAATTTCAAGTTGTGCTAAACTTTGACTTGTACTAATTTGGTATTTAGCAGGTGTTCAAACTGGATAACTTACACCTCTAGGATGAAGAAAGCATTCTAGAGGATGGGAGGGTGAGATGGAGGGCAGCAGGAAGTAGCAGGCAGAGCAAATACAGCTAGGTGAGAGATTAAATAGATCAGCCATGAAATTTAGTTTTGTCCATAATAGTCCTAAAATCATTTACTTAAATTAAGGTTTTATCTTTTTGAGCCAGAAGTTGAAGCTGGCCCCTACAGAATTTGAAATTAGAATATCTCTCATTTGTACTAGCTTCTGACATGATCATTTACAACAGTATAGCGCATCATATACAACACTGCTCAATTTGGTCTGGTGTTTTATAGAGGTAACATTGGTGGTCTGTTAGGGATCAGGAAGTGAGGATTGTAGGGGACAGCATAAAATGGATAGCTATTTGACAATATAGTAGTAGAGCAGAATGGATGTTGGCCTTAAAAATGACTTAGGTTTCATCCTTGTGATTGTAAAGTGATCCACATTTTTCATGAGTAGGTCTTTGTACAGTTTTGCAATTGAAGAAAATTAAGACAACTGCTTGATTACAAGAACTGATGGGCTCCTGTACAAAACTATAAGACAGTCAGATAACTAGGACTAGTTGCAATAGCAGAACTATGCCATTGACTATTCATTTTTTGGTCTTCAGAGCACTTTTTCACATATTACAGTTGTTTTGGCTAGCTTTCTCTCTTTGCAGAATTTCTGCAACACATTTCAAGTTACCCACTGTTTATAAAAGAAAAAAGCATTTATTAGTGCAGTCTATTTTCAATAGTCAATAGACTCAAATGATTATCAGTTTCTTGTAATGTGATATGTATAGTCTATACATACATCTGAAATGAAATCTTAGCTTCTCTCAACACTGAATAGCAACACTGCCATTGACTTCAGTGGGGACTAGAATTAATCTCTGGTGTTCAGATCACTATGAAAATTATGCAAGTGAAGTACATGGAAACAGAGTGGATCTAGGAGCTGCATGGCTTTTACTATTGTCATGGTGGTAAATTTAACATACTGTACATCACATGTATGTGGAATTTTTAATGTAACAATTGTAATAGGGCTAAAAATTAAAACTCCAGTTCTGCCCGGAGAACAGGGCTTTCAGCCCCAATTGTGTGTGCAGAGCTTCACTTAAATCAATGGGAATTACATGGGTACGGGTAGTTCTTGCTGCAGGACTGGGACCTAGCATGCTTTTCCATGCATACTTTAGTTTGAAGTGTGACTATTTTGGGGGCCTGTCTCTGTTCTCACATCATGTAGTGCCATTTTATTCTATTAGAAACAACTTGCCAAAGGAAAGTAAAAAGTTGATATGAACACTAGATCCAACCCAGCTCCCATCATGTCATCTACTAAACAGTTCCTATCTCTCCAGCTACTATAATTTCATTCCTTAATGACCTGTTAAGAAAATCACTAGAGTCACAACAAATTCAGTATCAAGTACTCAGAATAACAGAAAAGTTTCTATTCTAAATAAAGTGTGCAGTATTTTAAAGTCCTTTCCTATCATTCAGTTTTTCCTACCCGTCTCTTCAAAGCATTTTCCATCACCATCTTGTATGTATCAGAAATTCCCTTAATTTTAATCCACAAAAATATTCCAGCAGTAGGGACGTGCCACTCTGCCAAGCCTGTAGATAAAATATGGACATTGAATAAATATGTATCTTTCATCTGCAATGAAAACACCAAACTGGAAATATAGCCATTCATATCAATAGGGACAGGTTTTCATCTATCGTATTACATGGACTTTACTCCATCAGCTTTTTGGGGGCGCTGATTTGCATGAGGACCTCAGCTTCCTTGGCTCTTTATGCAGGTATCTAAGCAGTTACCTGTTCCATGCCTTTCCTTGGGGTCAAAGCTATATTTTTCTAATTAGTAAAGGCTCTAGATACCACAATTTACCTTAACTAAAGTAAGATTTATTGACAACTTTACAGTAATAGAAAACCATATAATAAAGCAAAGGTTAGTTAAACACATGCACATGACAGATGAATATGATAGTGTCAGCAGATTGGCACTAACTGGTAAGTTACTTATCAAAGCTATCTGGACTTACCGCACAGTACAGGTTGAACCTCTGTAAACTGATATTCTCTTATCTGGCAGCAGCTGTGGTCCAGGAGGACCATAGGTGTTCCAGGACCAGAGAGTCCCTGTGGAGCACTGGTGCCTACAAGCCCTGCAGGCTGACAGGGCTGCAGCAGGGCCAGGAGCCTGACTCTCTACCTGGAGCCCAGAGCACCCCAGCAAGGCTGCCTGGCGGGGGCCTGGAGCCCCAAGTGCCCAGTGAGGCTGCCTGGTGTAGTAGGCAAGGGGGGATGGGCTCCAGCAGGGCACCGAGGCCAGTAGCAGAGGGGCAGATATGACCTCACTTAGTCCAGCAAAATCCCTCATCTGGGACTGGTCAGATACCAAGGATGGTGGACCAGAGAGGTCCGACCTATAGCAGTTTGCATAGTCTCTCACACTGTAAATGCTGTCTCTGGAATTACATGCCCTTCCAGAAGAAATAGTCCTCATAGAGAGTTTGTTAATAGTATGTATACCCTCCCCCACCCACACACTTTGACAGTAAGTCTCCCCAGCTTCTTTTGATGACATTTGCCTTTTCACAGGTAAAGTTGATTTAATGGTAGGCTGTAAACTCATTAACAAGGCTGTAAACTCATTAACAAATGTAGGACTGAAACAGACCTTGCTAAGTTAGCTAGTCCAATCTCCTGCTCTGAGGGAGGAGTACATATAGTCTGTGTCTAGACTGCATCCCTTTTACGGAAAAGGGATGCAAATTAGACACATCGCAATTGCAAATGAAGCGGGGATTTAAAATGGTGAAACTTGGCGTGTTCAGAACCACAAGCTCTAAGTCTTTGAGTTTCTGCCTTACCATCTCTCAATCTGTGCTGTTCCATGGTTATCTGCATATACATTAACATAACTAAATAGGTGCACATCAGTATGTGTTGCATTCACTGACCTTTTAACCATTTGTCTGCTGCTGCAAGCATTGCATCTCTCTGGCTCCTGTAGAACTCTGTTACCCTGAAAGCAAATAAGTTATTTTGAAGAACAGTGAGAACATGAGTTAGGCATACAGTTATTGAACACTGTCTTGTATATAACTCAGCAACAGTTTTATTGGAAATCAGTGCTAAGTGCTACTCTGGATCACTCTCCCTGGGTATGTCTACACTACCCTCCTAGTTCGAACTAGGAGGGTAATGTAGGCATACCGCACTTGCAAATGAAGCCCGGGATTTGAATTTCACGGGCTTCATTTGCATGAGCGGGGCTCCGCCATTTTTAAAACCCCGCTCGTTCGAACCCTGTGCCGCGCGGCTACACGGGGCACGAACTAGGTAGTTCGAACTAGGCTACCGTTACTCCTCATTCCATGAGTACCCCGCTAGTTCGAACTAGGAGGGTAGTGTAGACATACTCTCAATTAGTATGGTTTTCTCCATGGTGTTTCATTTTTTTATGGAAAGTAAATAAATAACCTAACAATGATATCTAAGGATGGAGGACTTGTAAAGAGTAAACCCTCTCCACCATCATGAGTTTGAAAGTTTGATGTGGATATTATTTGTTATCCATTATACTTAAGAAAGACCATAAACACAAGGAGCAAATTGTAAAAACCAGTGGAAAAATGCTGGTGAACAATGGAGCAATGATTGAGTAGTGGATTTTCTAAAATGGAAAAGATATCTATGGCAGATATATTATAAGCCCTATAGTGACAAAACCTTGGGAGCCTTCTGTGTCCAACCTAGGGCCTTATTCAATGTGCGCTGAAGACAGCGTGGTTTGTTCCATTGACTTCAGTGGGCTGTGGAGCAGACCTCTAGAACAGATGATTATCTTTAGCTAGAAATTTTTTTTTTAAAGTCTAATGAAAGGTTCAATATATTAGTAAACAATACAAAGGATTAGTGGACGGTTTCCTTCAACAAATATAGCTCAGAATTTCCTTTTTGTGGATTCATGACTTGATCACAAAGTGAAATTGAATGTTGTTTTGGCGGGGTTAATATAGACTTTAATAACAATGTGTAGTATTTATGTGACATTTTTTAATCCATGGATCTCAGGTGACTTTGCAAGAGTAGGAATATTATTACCATTTTTAGATGAGAAAACTGAATTACAGAATAGTTAAATGATTTGCCCCCCGAAGCAGCAGGGATGGGAATAGAGCCCCAGGTATTAAATAAAAAGAAAGAATAACTAGAGTTATTATATTACCTGTCTGTGTGCTCCAGAAAACCCTTTTGTCCCCACTTCAGAAAAAGTTGTAATACTAGTATCTGTGTGTGTGAGAGAGGGAAAAACATCAAAGTTAATGTCATAACCTAAATACTATCAGAGCCAGTCCTGCAAAACCCACTGCCTCCAATCATAGCTGCAATTTGCATTGCATTTCTGATTGCTTTTCCAGAAGAGACTTTTCCGTCATTTGACCCCATCTAGATGGGGCCAAATGGCGGAAAAGCCTCCTTTTTTGGAGGAGCCCTTTTCCTTGTAAAACAAGGTATACAGGGCTCCCTGAAAGAGTGCATTTGCTCTTCCGCAAAAAAAAAAAAAATGTAGAAGAACAAATGCATTCCCTGGACACAGCGGAGTTTTGGTATCCCGGAAAAACCCTGCAGTCTAGGCATACCCACTGAGAATCTGTGTAAGGATTTCAAAAGTATACTGGGCTTATAACCATTCACTATTAAAAATGGCCCTCTTTTCCACTACTGATACCTGAATGAAAGGACAGTGTCAAGTTCTGCCCTCAGAGACATCCACTATACAGAAGTATTGGAGAGCAGAATTTGGCCCATGATATATAACACCAGTCACGTGGTAAGAGGTTCCTGTGTCTAAAGCAGAGGACCGAAGGTAAGGTGATCTGAATTCTAATCTCACCTGTACTACAAGTCTTATGTGACCTTGGCCAAGTTACTAAAGCTTTTCTGCACCTTAATTTGCAATCTTTAGAAAAAAGCTAGTAGCAGTAATGTTGTGGAGATTTTGTAAAAAGAGCCTCTATGGGAAAGTGCTTTGTATGCCACTCATTTTTTTTGTATGGCACTCATAATTTTGTATGTCTGTATATACCTGGGCAGTATAATTCCCAACTTCAAGCACACCACACTGCCCACAATATGGATGTGTGCATCCCTGAGACATGTGAGGGATAGACTAATTGGCATCTATAGGGGTTCTTTTCTGCTATTTGTTCTGCTGTACTATATACAGAGCAGGGATCAAGCACTTACCTTTTAAAAAAACATTCCAGTCACGTAGTTGTATAACTATGCAATGGTACTTGCCTGTGCAAAAGTGTTGGGGTGCATCGTTGTAATCTGCGTATGTAGACTAACTCTATCGATAAATGGTTTGGGGCCTGTTAAAAAGCCTAATCTCAACCTATGGGGAGGAAATAGCATTAATAAAAAGATGTACAGTCCACTAACATTTCTTACATGGATTTAGTATTCTTAGTATCTGACTCAGCTATCACTAAATTTGTGGTCTATGAATCCTGAACAAATCCAATAGTGCAGTTCTGTTATACCTGGAGTAAAGTAGTTATGCCTTGGTTTGAGAGATTTTTAAACAGCACAAAGTAAAATGCTATGCAAAAGACATTAGACCTACATAGAGATCAAATCTAGGACTCTGTTGACAAGCTGAAGAACAATGACTAGAGGGAGCACATGTGCAGGTTAATCAATAAAAAACAGCTGACTGAGAACAAAGGATTCCCACAACAAACTTATTTGCAGAGTTAAAACAGTGACAGGGTACTCCTTGCTGGCCATTCAAAGCTTAGCCATGAAAGGACAGCTCCTAATATATACCAAGGAATTGGGAGAGGGAAAAAGTGCCAAAAGCAGCTTTGAAGTTTAGGACACAAAAGGTGTGTCTAGACTACAGAGTTTGTCGACAAAAGTGACTTTTGTCGACAAAACTATCCCTGCGTCTACACTACCGCTGAATTCTGTCGACATAACGTCGCCAGAACTCAGCAGTTTTGTTGACGCTGGGAAACCTCATTTTATGAGGCATAACGCCTTTTGTCGACAGAGGTCTGTCGACAGAAGGTGTTATTGCATCTAGGGTTATGTCTAGACTACAGGGTTTTGTCAACAAAGCAGCTTGCTTTGTCGACAGAACTGAATGTAGTCTAGGCGCTCTTTGTCGACAGAAGCTTTGTCGGCAGTATGGGTGTGTCTAGACTACAGAGTTTGTCGACAAAAGTGACTTTTGTCGACAAAACTATCCCTGCGTCTACACTACCGCTGAATTCTGTCGACATAACGTCGCCAGAACTCAGCAGTTTTGTTGACGCTGGGAAACCTCATTTTATGAGGCATAACGCCTTTTGTCGACAGAGGTCTGTCGACAGAAGGTGTTATTGCATCTAGGGTTATGTCTAGACTACAGGGTTTTGTCAACAAAGCAGCTTGCTTTGTCGACAGAACTGAATGTAGTCTAGGCGCTCTTTGTCGACAGAAGCTTTGTCGACAGTATCTGCCGACAAAACTTCTGTCAACAAAAGCCTGTAGTCTAGACGTACCCATGGAGAAGATACTCAATCTATGGAATGCTTCATAGGGTTTGGCACTGCAAAGAAATAAGAAAGGAGGGGGGAATGCATGGTGATGGTTTGGGGGAAACATACTTATTCTTTGTGGATAAGGGCACTCTAATGAGCTGCTGATCTTCAGCTGAATTTTATGGCATATCCAATGTTTGCTTTACAGTATGTGACATTATGGTTTCAAAATATTTTTGTAGCAATAAAAATAAGACTAGAGGATCTTTTTAATCAGAGCTGTATAGAGCAGTGGTCCCCAACACGGTGCCCGCGGGCACATTTGTGTGCGTCCGCCAAGTGCTCGGGGCTGGCCTGGCCCTGGGCACATGGCACATGCATGGTGCACGGTGAGTGCCGGCCCTGGGGGGCACGCGACGCTTGGAGGGGGCCCTGGCCCTGGGCGCGCGGCCCTTGGAGGGGGCCCCGTCCCCGGGCACGCGGCTATGGGGGGGCCCTGCCCCCGGGCGCGCAAGTGTCCCTGCCCTCTGGTGCCCGGCGGGCGAATGGCCATGCCCCCTGGCGCCCGGCAACCTCCAGTGGTTGGGGACCACTGGTATAGAGGGAATGGGAATGTGTTCGTATAATGGAGCCATATTAGACAGCATTTTGAAATTGGACTTACCCAGGAGAGATAATTTTAGAAAAAGTGTCGCATCTGATCACTCGACCATCAACATCCATTGACAGAAATGTTGGTGCCTTTGGCTTTAATATAAAAAAAGTAGCTTATTGTGGCCCTTATTTTATCATTAGGTAACAATTTGTGATAACAAAATATAACTCACTTTTCTCAACAAGAAAACAAAATACTCAAGACTATGCTGTGACTTGCTTTGTGGCAACGAGGACAGCAAGCAATCTCTTTTTCCTTGTGCAGGGGCCAGTACAAAGTGATTAGGAAAAGCAGCCACTGTATTAAGTTAGTGGAAACAGTGGCATCAAGTCTCTGCAAAGGGCTAGAGAGAAACAAGATAAGAGCAGGACCTGGGCTGAATCTGTGTTAACCATTCTCCTCCACACTACTTTACCCAACTGTTGTGGCTGAGTCCAGCATGTGTGTGTGGAGGTGGGGTGTGGGGGAGAAGTAGTGCATTTTGTATCTTGTTAAACTGTAGGGAGTGCTGCTCTGGAGTGACTGCTATGAACTGAACCTTACCCATAGACTCGGGATAGTGCCATGAGAGAGCATGGTATCCATCTGTATGTGCACAGACACATATTTACCCCAGTATTGTGCAGGTGCAAACACTCATGTACAAACTTATGCAGTTCTCACACCTACATGTATGCAAGTTTGTGTTTTGTACCCACATAAGTACAAATGGATTTCAAGGATGCACATTCTAATATTAGCAAGCACTTGTTAGATTACTTCTAAGGTGCACTCATGCTTTTGTCCCCACTTTCCTGTCATGCTAAAGAAAGTGTAAGGTGAATCATATTTTGGGCCTCTTACCTTTGACTGTCCACATTAAATAAATATCGTTATCTATGGAACAACTGATCTGCAATTCTTTCTGTGTAGGAAAACATTCTACTAGTCCAGTTCAAACTCCCAAACTTATGTAAAATGCAAGATGTTTGATTGGTGGATACCAGTAATCTCCTAAACATTTTTTTTAAACTTGGATAGCTTAAACTGCATTTAAGTTTGTTGAACCAAAAGCATGTGACAGAAATACAAATAAATACAAGTGTTCATTTACCTTTTCAAACTGAAGAAAATAATATGGATCATCTTCTATTATAAGGAAATCATAACATCTTGCAAGCTGAAAAGAGATCAAATTTAAAAAAAAAGAACAGGCTTGAAAACTGTCAATTATTTGCTGCAATTATTATGTAGTGATATTTTAGTATACAGAAGACATATGTGATTAGTGACAATAGGGTAAATGACCAAGTAGCTAGCTAGGGCTATCATTAGTTATGCCATCAGATGTAGGTCATGAAAATGATCACATAGGATGACAAAGAAGAGAAACAGACCCATTTGCAGCTCAGGTCTTCTATAATTTTAGTTGGCCCAAAACCAACATGTTATCATGGGGAAATATTCTAAATTCTGTGTTATAAATTGGTTAAAAGCAAACAAAATATTCTGTCTTTGAAAGCTCTAATGATATCAGATTCCTACTGAATACCTGGTATATCTTCTTTTTGCGGTCAGTGGTCATTGAGGTTCCAGCTGGATTGTTACCATTTGGAACAGTGTAGAGGAACTTGGGGAGATTGTTCTTCAGTTTTTTTGCATCTTCTGGTCTCCACCTGGAAAGAATTTCTTTCAGAGCTTCTGGAATAATACCATGCTTGTCAGTAGAGACTTTGATAATGTTACAGCCCAATGGTTTCAGCTGTTAATAGAAAAAACAAACAAACCTGGACTTGATACACAATCTAGCCCAGTCAGCAGTTCAGAAATAGTAAAAGAGGCCACTGAACTTCTGTGCTTGCTTTCCCAAAATAACAAATTCTGTACCTTAAATTTGATCTGAAATGGGAAATTGTAGACCTGGATTGACTTCAGACAATCCCAAAAACTTTTTCACATCATAGTCCAGATTTTTGTATGTAGTCCCAATGAATGGTCCTACATTTAGCTATATATTTATTTGACTGCCCCAAAGAAAGATGATATACAGATATCTCATGCAACAAGCTAATGGAATGAATGTCACGTCTCTATCTCATAGTTGCATAAGTCTGAAAAATTCCAAAAGTGAGGTTCCTACTATAATTTATTTGTATTACTTGTATGTATGTACATGCATACATATACACGTACATATAGATAATATGAAAATAAACATGTAATGCAAGTAAGTTACAGTAAGAACATGAGTTTTGCATTTGGCTAGGAGTTTGTTTTTGTTTTTGTTGTGGAATATGCATGGGATCTTTTACCTGGGTAAATTGTTGGTTCTGCTGGGCTTTCATATAAATGTATATTTGATGAAGGAGCATTAAATGTGTAGCTGTTTCCAGGGCTCCCTAGAGGGATCATTGAACTCCTCAAAACACTCCTTTAGTCAAGACTTATCACAGTGTTTTGTTATGCTTCCTCCAGGTAGTAGGATCCCTAGCTATCATTCAATGAAGATTGCCTTGCAGTATGATGACATTGTTCATCTCCCTGCAGCCTGACACATTCCTGCATTTCATGGGAAGCTTTTCAAGGCTCATATAGTTAATAAAGGAATATCAGAGACTGCAAAATAATTTTTCAAAGGCCAAGCCTCACTGGTGTATGCAGTATGCTGTTGCACATGCCCATATGTATGTGTGCACACTTGGTAGATGGAAACACCTGTGCCCACAATTTCAGTCAGGGTAGAGAAAATGATTATTTGGAGATAAAATCAGACTTTTTAGATTGGAAATTTTTGATGTTGCTGTTTTAAATTGTTTTTCTCTTTTAAAATAGGTTTAAAATGAAATCTGAATTTCATACAAAATATGTTGAGGCTTGAACTTGTTATAATTTAGCTGTAAATGTGAAACCTGTTTTGAGAAAATATGCTTATTCATGAAGAATGTAAAGGCTGTTTTGGTTAATAAACATACATGTTATATCCTGGTTTTGTATGTTTTTAAAGACATTCAAGTTACCGCCAGTGCAGCTGGGAGCCCGTACCCTACCACAGGGCTCCTGGCTGCAATGTGAGCATCCTGGTCACAGTGCCGGCCCCGCTGATGCAGGGCTCTCTGCCATGGGGCTTTCTGTTCTTGAAACATCCGTGGTCCTGCTGGATGTTTCGGGACCAGAGTGTTCTGGTTTAGGAAGGTACAACCTGTACTGACATAAACAGATCTCTCTTTGCTACAGTATATAGATTTCCATATATCTACCCACATGTGGGGCATACTTAAATCAGTGAGAGAAAGTACATACTGCCAACTTTCCCTCTTCACCATGTCTTCAGGAGAAACTTTGCACTGCTTTGGAAATATAAACCAATACTTACTGCTGAGACAGTCCCAGAGTAGCAGGGGTCTTCCACAAGGACATTATCTCCACGATTGATAAGCATATCGAAAACCTGCCCAATAAGAATAATTTATTTTACAACAGTGTGACCTTTTCTCCTGAATATTATACACGTTGCATTATTTGTATTGATTACATCCGTGGACCTCAATCTTTTCAGACTATTGTTCTCCTTTCAGGAGTCTGATCTGTCTTGCATACTGAAAAGTTTCACCTCACTTAAAAAATACTTGTTGACAAAATCAGACATCAAAATACAAAAGTGTCACAGCACACTATTACTGAAAAATTGCTTCCTTTCCCATGTTTACCTTATAATTATAAAATCAATTGGAATATAAATATTGTACTTACATGTCAATGTATAGAATATAGTGAAGTATAAACAAGTAACTGTATGAAATTTAATTTGTACTGACCTTGGTAATGCTTTTTATGTACCCTGATGTAAAATGAGGCAAATATCTAAATGAGTGCATGTTCCCCCTGGAAGACATCTGAAAACCACTGTCTTCCATTTTATTTTAGAATAAAATGATTAGGAAAACAAAAAGAAACCAAAGCCTGCTTATTTTACTGATACATACAGTCTTCACTCACACAAGTTATTCTATGATTTTAAGAAGGCCTCAGCTGTAAATAAAGCAAGTACAAATGCACTCAGAGAATGAAATGGATACTTTGAAGCCAATGGGAATTTTGCCATTGACTTTGGTGGCGCCAAGATTTCATCTTTGTTGCATAATTTCCTCTTGTATAAAAGATGTATAACAAAATTAGCACTTTTTTCAATGCAAAATCAGTTGCTAAAGTGAAAACATGTTTAAAGCTTTTGTGCTATTGAACAAAATAATCTAACATTAACTACTACTTCATACAAAGCAGTTGTGTGTTTAGTAATAGTTCAGTGTGAGGTGAAAGTTTTATTACTTGAAATGGAGTGAAGGGAATCAAGCAAGGGCAATATTCCTTGTGAAATACATGTAATAGATATAATTAATAAACTATAGAGTTTAGGTGGCATGGCCATGCCAGTATTGATTCTGTTTTCAGTCTTACTTTAGCCAAGCCATCCTGGCTGCCAGTGGTGACACACATCTCCATTTGGCCCTGATCAGGACTGTTCTTTGCAGTGGGAGGATTGTGAAGACTCATCTGTAAATCCTTTAGCCAGGACAAAAACTCTGGAATTCTGAAATACAAGTTTTATTCCTCATTTCTTCATCTGTATCAATAGCACTTGATAAACTTCAGAGCCGATTATTCAGTTGTACCCCTTTGCAGCCCCAATGCAGCATGATTTCTGAACAACCTGGGTGTAGCTGTTGTTAATTATAAAGGTTTATGGATCAAATCCTGAAGCACTTGCTTTAGAGTGATCCTGCTCATCCTCACCGTCATGATTAACTCTTCCTCTTATTAGTAGTTCCATCATTGACTTAAATGAGACAGTGCATCAGTTAGGGTGTGTCTAGACTACATGCCTCCTTCGACGGAGGCATGTAGATTAGCCAGATCGGAAAAGGGAAATGAAGCCGCGATTAAAATAATCGCGGCTTCATTTAAATTTAAATGGCTG